GGGACCGGGCCTCCCATCCAGGTCACTGTGACCTTGTTCATATCCATGAAGTCACATGTGTGCTGTATAGCTCACATGTAATTAGAATATTATCAGTGCCACAAGGCCACACCACAGTTAGAGGTGGACGGGATGGGGGGGTGGGGGTGGGGGACATGGGGGATGAGGAGGTGCTTGTCTGAGGCCCCACTCCATCAGGACACTCTAGGTTGGGGAGCTACTCTGCCAGTTAGAGCCAGAGAGGTCACTTGATCCGGGCTGAATGAGGCGTGACTCTGAGCATGTGACTTTCTTTCCCATCACACCTGTTGGAATATCCATGGCATGGGAGTTACTGAGAGCCTGGATCTCAGGGTAGATGCTGCTCCCCCAATGCCAGGCTGGCAAGCACCCTTTGAGCCCCATCAAGAAGCAACAGGGAAAAGCAAAGAAGGACAGGCTGAACCATGCCAGAATTCCCCTGACAGGTTTCTGGTCTTACTGAGCCCATTCTCATGACAGGTCCTGAAAATGACAGTGTTCTGAGTGGGGTCCCGCTTGGTGGCATTTGGACTTAAGGTGCCTGTTCCATCCCTTGGTGGGGTGCTAAGCAGCCTAGCTGGGTACAGGGACACTGGCCCCTGAGGAGCCTCCTCCATGGGGCCCCTGGAGACCGTGGGAGGTGCGCAGGGACTTTCCTCTGAGGTAAACAGTCTAAGCTGTTCTCATCTGGGAACCCGTGATCAGCCTGGGTGCTGGAGAGGATGTGTGAGGTCATGACCGGAGGATGCTTGGCACTTGTGGCTCAACGTGAGCATCCAGTGGGACAAGAACCAAGGCCTGGGGCCAGATCTGATGTGACCTAGGTCAAGGTGCTTCTGGGCCACTGGTCTTGGCTCTTCTCTGTATGCCAAGATGGATGGGGAAGAAGGAAGGGCATGGCCTCGAAGTTGGTTTACAAGATTTTATTTTCACTAGAGTAAATCCAGCACTCACTTTAACTGATGGGGCTGGACTGTTGTGAGATAGTTGATTACCCCACGTAAAGATATGTCATTTGTGGTCGGTTTAATAAAAAGCTAAAAGGCCAGTAGCTAGACCAGAGGTACAGGTGGGACTTCCGGATAGAGAGAGCTCTGGGAAGAAGAACGGGGAAGACGCCAGATGATGTGGAGAGGGAACAGGAGGTACAAGATGAAAGAGAGGTGAAAAGCCACAGGCAAAAAGTAGATTAGTATAAATGGGTTAATTTAAGTTATAAGAACTTGTGGGAGAAGTCTAAGCTATAGGCCGAGCTTTCATAATTAACAGTTTAAGTCTCAGTGTGGTTTTTAGAGAGCTGGCAGTCCAAAGAGTATGGGAGATGAGGGGGCAAAGGTGAGCAGGTCCAATGAGGACTCAATCAGGTAAAAATGAAAAATTTAAAAATTTATTATTATTGTTGAGACAAGGTTTCACTATATTGTTTGGGGAGGCTACTTGTTGGTTCCTGGCTGCTTTAGCCCCAAAATAATCACACAGAAACCATATTATTTAAAATACCGCTTGGCCCATTAGCTCTAGCTTCTTATTTATTGGCTAACACTTATATCTTAATTTAACCCATTTATTTTAATCTGTGTATGCCATGTGGCTGTGGCTTACCGGCTAAAGTTCTGGCGTCTCTCTGGCAGCAGTAACATGGCTTCTCTCTGACTCCTCCTTTTCTCCCAGCAATTCAGTTTAGTTTTCCTCGCCTACCTCTATTCCCTGCACAGGCTCAAGACAGTTTCTTTATTAACCAATGGTATTCACAGCATACAGAGGGGAATCCCACATCACTATATAGCCCTGGTTGGCCTAGAACTCTATGTAGACCTGGTCGGCCTTAAAGTCACAAAGACCCACCTGCCTCTGCTTCCTGAGTGTCGGGATTAAAGGTGTGTGCCACCTCATCCAACAAAAGGAAGATTGTAAATTGAGTTCTAACAACTGTCCATTCCTCTCAGTAGTTAGAACACTTGACCCGAGAAGCCAATAGTCCTGGGCACTTTTGATACAAATTTTACTTTTATTGGGTCAAAATTATTTATTTTTTTAACATTGAAGTGCAATTTTGAAGCAGAATTAGAGTTTCTTAAGAGTTCTGAATATAGACTTTGACTTATGTGTATGTTTGACCGGCATGTGTGCATCATGTGTACTGTATCTGTAGATGCTAAAGAGGGTGTGGGGTCCTCTAGAACCACAGTTAGAGGCAGCTGTGAGCCTTAATGTGGTGGGCTGGGAACTGAACCCCAGGTCTTCCACAAAAGCAGTAACTTGACAGCTGAGTTCTCCAGCCCTCTTTGAGAGTCTCGTGTAGTTCTGGACTCTGTCTACACTGCAGCCCCGGATGAACTGGAGCTGACCTGCCCACCACTGATCTCCAAGTGCTGGCTTTACAGATGTCAGCACCATGCTTGTCCCTCAGAGCTTATAGGGCTGGATCGAGGAATGTACTTACGAGTTAAGGCTCTTCTTCCTTTCCCTTTCTTTTCGAGATGAGGCCTATGTAGCCCAGGCTGTCCTGGAACTCTGTGCAGACCAGGCTAGCCTCAAATTAACAGAGACCCACCTGCCTGTGCTGCCTTAAAGGGGTGTGCCCACTACACCTGGCTCTGGCTGCTCTTGCAGAGGACCCAGACTCATAACTGTTTCTAACTCCGGCTCCGGGGGATCTGAAACCCACTTCTGGTCTCTAGGGGTGCCAGGCACTGAAATGGTGAGCAGGCATACATGCAGACAAAACAGCCATACACTGGTGGCTTGAATAGGTATGGGCCCCCTCGACTCATGCTTGGACAGGGAGTGGCACTATTAGGAGGTGTGGTCTTTGTGGAGTGGGTGTGGCTTTGTTGGAGGAGGTGTGTCACTTAGGGGGGTGAGCTCAAGCCACGCCCCGTGTGGCAGTTACTTCCTGCTGCCTAGAGACCCAAAGCCCTCAGCTGTCTCTCCAGCACTGTGCCTGCCCGTATGATGTCATGTTTCCCACAACAAAAATGGACTAAACCTTTGAACTGTAACCAGCCCCAATTGAATGTTTTCCTTTATGAGTTGCCATGGTCATAGTGCCTCTTCATAGCAATAAAACCCCAAGACATACACATAAAGATTAAAAATAATGGCTCACTGAGTCTGGGCATTTCTACTAAGCCTGACGACCTAAGTTCAATCCCTAGGACTCACATGGTGGGAGGAGGATACCGACCCCAGCAGCTGTCCTATGCCACTCACCCTAATCACATCTCACACTGCACGACTCCATGGTCTCTTGGGACATGGCCAGTTGATTTAAGTCCCACATGCCGCTTAAGGCCTAGGCCTCACAGCCTCTGTGGGGTCCTTCCTTCCCCTGGAGCCCCAATGTTACTTGCCCTTCCGAACATGTTGATTCTTCCCTCCTCAGACCCTGGCAGGAACAGTGGTACCCACATACTGAGAGGTGATACGGGGAGAGCAGGGAGGAACAGAACAGACCCTAGGCTAGCACCAGGAGCCTCCCTTGGCCTCCATGCTGACAGCCCTGGATATGGAAGAGGTGCCCCTCAGTTCTCAGAATAGCATGAAGAACTCAGTTGGCTTCGAGTCAACTCTTAAATACTTAATTCCCATTTATTTAAACTTCTGTCTGTCTGTGTACACTATTTATATTAAAAACACAGGAAGCAGGGGCTCCTAGCAAAAATATACATTTTAGTTTTGGAGACTTCAGACCCTGAGAGGAGCTGCATCCTCAGCACCAGACCTGGGTGGGGGCGGGGACAGGGCGGGTCAGGGAATGCAGCTCCATCCACAGCCTGGGCCCCGCAGGGACAAGGACCCCAAGACCTGATCAGTGGAGGTGGGGCAGGGAGTGTGCTAGCAGGGATAATCTGGCGATGGAAGGTCACTGCATTGGCAGGAGCATTCTGTCCCCTTTCCAAGTCACTTCCCTCCAGAGCTGTGGTCTGATGGCCAAGGCCCTGGGGACAAAGGACCATCAGACAGGTTCCAGGACACCAGGGCTTGAAGCCCAGGCTTCCACTGCGTTTCTCTGAGAGCCTGGCTGCTGGCTCCCCATGGGTCTGGGCAGGATGGGCCTGGCCCAGCTCTTGGTCTCAGGAGAGCCTGGAGGGGGTTGGGCAGAGGATGGGAGCACCCAGCAAGCTCCATGCCACTTGAAGCAGCAGCTGGGAGCTGGTGACCAGCCAGGCATAAAAGGCGGCCATGGAGCTGCTGGGTGTGTGAATGAGAGAGGAACCGGTCAGAGGAGCCTTGGCAACTCTGCCTGTGAGCTGGCACGACACCCCTGCCCGCACACATATCACCAACCTAGGCACGGGGCACAGCTGTCTCCCAGCTACCTCATGGAGAGCAGGTTGGGGGTCCTGTGGTGACTGAGACAGCTGCAGGGGGCGGGTGCGCCAGCGTCTCCCAGACAGAGGAAAGGGCAGCTGTGGTCCTGTTCCTCGCACTGGGTTCTGCCAGTCTTGAATGCAGCTACAGGGTGGAGGCCAGCGGGGTACTGATAGACAGCCTGCCCCATGTGCTGTCTGGCCTCTAACCCTGGGACCCAAACCTGAGTCCTGGGCATCAGTACTTCAACTGGGGTGTGGGACCCCATCTGGAGGGCGTATCCCCAGGGCAGTGCAAGGGCCATCAGTGGCAATGGCCTAGAACACTGGCAAGAAGAATGGAAGGTGTCAGAGTTGGGGCGGGGTGCCTTGGGTTGAGGAGACAGTCTGGGAGAGAAACCTGGCTCCCGGCCCAGGTCCTTGCCTATTCCCCTCTGCAGGAGGAGCCCTGTGATGTGACCACAGCCTGGGACAGCAGTCAGTCCAGGCCAAGCTTCTAGGAAAGCTGGGCCCAGAGTGTAGTGTTTCTTTGGATGGCTCAGGTCACTGAAGATGGAGACAGAGGCAAGTCAGGACTGGGCCGGTGCAGGACCCACTGCTCCTGGGAGAGCGGGCAAAGGCAGAGGTCCTGTTCGGGCTGATGGTGAGTGTGCCAACTGCCTCACTGTCTGGGCTCATGGTGAGTGTGCCAACTGCCTCACTGACATGGATCGGACAGACATGGGGACAGGCTGGGAGGAGGAGGATGCTGCAGAAGGCAAGGGGGAGAGGAGGGGTGCTGGGGAGACATGGGCAGCAGGAGGGAAGGTGGAAGTCTGGGCCACGTGTCTGGAGTGTTGTGAACGGGCCCCAGCTGCCTGGGCTGTGCCCAGTACTTGTGGGCTGCTACTCTGAACAGTCCCACGGCTGGGTGCAGCTGGAGCCCGGAGAGGCCTGGGCTGCAGCCTCAGTACATGTCCTTATAGATTTCCTGGAGCAGAGGGTGCAGCAAGGTTTCGCTCTCCGTCTTCTTTAGCCACTGCATCATCTGGGCATGCTCAGTAACCAGCTGCCGTAGGTCGGCCATCTTCTGCAGCAGCTTGGGGAAGAGGTATGGGCTGTCAGGGTGGTTGACTTGCAGGTGGACCTCCAGAGCCCGCAGAATGGTGTCCTGGATGGCCTCCACCTGCGGCACGTTCATGAGGCCTGGCCGGTCTGTGGAAGACGAGGTAAGAGTGGAGTCTCAGGCCAGGGCAGAGGAACCTGCTAGCCCACTGGGGATCTCTAGGCCTTGCCTTGTTACTGGCTCCACCCCTGGGTATTCCAGTCCCCGCCCCTGACTCTCTACCTGTCTTGTTTCTGACCAATTGTTTTTCCTGGTCTGGCAGGGCCAGCTCCTGGCTAGGACACTTGGTACCTGAACTCAGATCCTGTTTGTGGTTCTGAGCTTCAGTGTCCTTGACCCAGGTTGCTGGGAGGACCAAATGAGTTGCAGACCAGGATGGCTCTGGCCTGCAGTGAGCTCACTGCCCCTGTGGGTGAGCAGGCTTACCTGTATGTTATACTGGACTGGAAAAAAGGAAAAGTAATACAGAAATCTCTCCATCATCCACAGATAACGGCCTTTGACATAATGATGCCCCCGACCCCCACTAGAGACTGAACTCAGGCCTCCCACCCACTAGATAGGCATTGTACCACCGAGCTATCCCAGCAACGTCAACTTCTCTTTCTGCACCTCCATCTGTTTAACAAGATGCAGTTGGTTCTGCACATGTGGTCTGTGCTACACTGTCCCTTGCAGCGGAGCCGTCCCCTCACCTCCACACAGAATGATGGCGGCGATGAAAAGGGCCAGGTCACTGTCATCGAGTTCCAGTGCATTGAACTTGACAGCAAACTCAAACTTGGGCTCGATGATGTCACTGAAGGGCTTGCGGAGGCTGCGCAAGAACTCGTGGGTGACGAAGCCACTGCCATTGGCCACCAGCAGCCCATCCTTGTTGACAATGGAGGCCAGCATGGCGAAGATGGCCTCGTGCACGCCGTACTTGAGGAGCGTCACCTGGTCGTTGAGGAAGAGGCTGCTGAAGTTGGGGATGCTCTTGGCGAACTCGGTGAGCTCCCGCACGGTCTCCACCGTGGTGCACTGGCAGCGGTAGAAGACATGCACGCTGATCTCCTTGTAGGGTGGCAGCCCGTTCACCAGCTGCTTCCACACCAGGCCCTTCTCCGCCTGCCACAGCGTCTCGATGTCGTGGATGACAAAGGGCTGAAAACCAGCCCCATCAGAAGCCAGGCCTGGGGAAGGGGGGGACCCCGCCCTGTATCCCCTGAACCTCCCCTCACAGCCTAGGCTGGCCAGTGACACTCACTGCGTTGTGGCTGGATTTGCCGGTGAGGATGCTACGGGCCTTCTTTTTGGTCATGTTGAAGTTTTTCAGGTAGGCGTTGTAGATGTGCTTGGAGAAGGCCTTTAGGTCGGCCAGCTGTGGGTTGTGCTGGCACCCCTCATTGGCCGTCAGCCCTGCCACCAGCTTCCTCTTCTCGGCCTCTGGCATCCGTCCGAAGCGGATGGCTGTAGAGGGGTTGAGGGCTAGTCAAGGGGGAGCTACAGGCAGCGGGGGGGGGGGCAGCACCTCTCCTTCCCCTGCTCCTCTCAGGGATGCAGAGTTATCCTTTGGGGGCAAACGAGCAATGCTGAGGCAGCTCAGGCGCCCAACTCCCTGAGAACCTTTGTTGACTGGGTGGGGGGTTGGCACACATGGCAGCTAGAGAGGCAGTCTGGTGACCAGGGCCTGTAGCAGAGCCCCACGTCACCACCTTTCTGTCATGTGACTTTGTTCTTTCACCTTCCTCGTGGGTTAGGAAGAGTGGAGAACCTCAAAACTGACTAGAATAATGAGGGGCGTTCACAATAAACAGTAGAAGCCAGAGCCATGGGCCGGGGCAGTAACTTGGTTGGTAAAGTGCTTCCGTGGCAAGCCTGAGGACCTGAGTCCGTAGATGCCACGCGAGAAAGAGCTGCGTGTGGGGCCAAGAAAGGTGGATCCTGGGAGTTCCCAGCCAATGAGACTGGCTCAGAAAAAAGAGGTGGATGGTCCCAGAGATGTGCATGCATGTGCACCAGCACACGCACAAACACACACACACTCAGATTACAGTCTGAATAACGAAGCAGGCCCTGGCTTCTGTCAAGAGAAAGCATGAAGGAAGGGTTCAGTTTGCCCCAGGCTTCCTAGGGCTCCCTGTGACCCCTGCAATGGAACAACGCCAGGTGATACAGACGAGCCTCACACCCACAGGACACACACTTAGGAGAAGCCAGAGAAGGCTTAAAGATGCCCAGTGTGTGTGGTCCAGTGGCTAGCCACCACAGGGAGTAAGCAGGAGGCTTCCCTGGGCTTTAGGAGCCTGAGGCAAGGATGGCTCAGTCTCCTGGGAGTACCTGACCACTGAGAAATTCCCACCTGGGTCCTGGCAGTTGCCACACATGGCCACTTCCTGGTTCCTGCCTACCCTCAGCAATTACAGACTGAGGAAACCCTGGCCTGGACCTTGCATGCTCTGTCAGGCTGAAGTGTGGGGAGCAGGTGACCGTCCAGGCCTCACAGATAGTCTGAGGCCCTCATCTGTGCCAGGCGCAGGTGCTTGGGCACTCTCTGGCAACATGGGGAGCCCAGAGCTGGGCTGTGCAGCCACCTCTGTGCCCTGCAGGGGTCCTCTCACTCACCGTTGTGCGACATGCCGAGCGCCAGGCACTTCTGGAAGCGGCAGTACTGGCACTTGTTGCGGTTTTTCTTCTGAATCTTGCAGCTCCGATCACACTTCTCATACTCAAGCTTCATGCGGATTGTCCGTCGGAAGAAACCCTGTGGGACTGAGGATGTAAGGATCTGGGGGACCAAGGATCTGGGGGGCCCAGTGGCATGTAAGGACACAAAAAAGGCTGAAATCTGGGAGTGGTGGGGATTTAATTAATTTTATTTGTACGAGTGTTCTGCCAGGACCTATGGAGGCTGGAAGGGGGTGACCAGATCTCCTGAGATTGGAGTCAGACACCTACCATGTGGGTCTGGGAACCAAAACTCAGGGCTCTGCAAGAGCAGCCAGTGCCCACCATGGAAGACAGCGCTCCAGTCCCAGGGAACTTTTTTTTTTTTTAAAGTAAGGAAAAGCATCCTTTAAAAAAAATTATAAATCTTAAAAAAAATGGGGGGGGCGCTGGAGAGTTGGCTGCTCTTCCAGAGGTCCTGAATTCAATTCCCAGCAACCACATGGTGGCTCACAACCATCCCTAATGAGTCTGGCACCTTCTTCTGGCCTGCAGGTATACAAATAAGTCTTTAAAAAAAAATTAAGGGTTAGGTATAGTGACACAAAATTTTAATCCCAGCACTCAGGAGGCAGAAGCAGGTGGATCTCTGTTAGTCTGAGGCCAGTCTGGTCTACAGAGTGAGTTCCGGGACAGTCATTACCATTCTCTGTTACAAAGAGAAACCCTGTCTCTGAAAAAAATATCAAACAAAAAAAAAAAAAAAAAGAAGGAAAGAAAGAAAGAAAAAGAAAAAAAAAAGACACAAGGCACTGGAAGCCAGCTTCAAATATACAAATAGATGCTCGTTCCAAGGTCACTCTGCCCAGCCTGCCTTCCCCACAGAAACTGAGTAGGTAGCTGGGTCAGGAGGCAGGTGTCTGTTTCAGCTCGGGCCTGAAGGGAACTGAAATGTTTTGCTGGGGGTAAATTTTTCAGGGCCCCACCCAAGGCAGGCAAAACCCTGTGCTCCTCAGTCCGTACCTTGCACCCCTCGCACGCATGGACCCCGTAGTGGAAGCCTGAGGCCTTGTCCCCGCACACTCTGCACTCCATATTGAGGCTGCCTCCGGAGGCCCCATCACAGCCTATCTGCAGCTGGTCCAGCAGGGAGGAAGGAGAGGAATTCTGGGAGAGGTCTGCGGATACAGGATAGAGGGGCCGTAGAACTATCAGGTACCACGTCTAAGAAGCAGGTAGAAAGAGGAGCTGCAGCCCAGAGCTCAGCCCCTCAAGGCTGTGTGACCTGGGGAGCAGCACTGAGAGGTCAGCATCCAGCGAAGCTTTGCTGGGAAGATGGGCCAAGTCTCCCCAAATGTGTGGCCCATGGCAGCAAGCGTGTGGCTGCTGCTTACAGCCTCCCTGCCAGGGAGAGGAGTGACCCTGGTGGGGCTCTGGGTCAGCAAGCAGCAATCCCAGGTGACCACGGGGTGCAATGTGTCTGTTGGAAACTGGGGGGCTGATCCTGCTGGGGGGAGAGTACAGGTACCTGCCTCGCTCAATGCAGAGGTTTGGACTGAGGGTTTAAAGCCGGGAGGGATGGGGAGACCAAGACTGCAGCTTTGGGATGAGCAAGCTGTCACGTGACCCTCAGAAGCCAGAGTCCCTTCCAATGGGCTTTGAGATTTAGGGATGAGACAATAGGCTCTGCCTTGGGCCTCAGTACCTGGTTCCACAGTACTGCCTGTTCTCCCCTCATGCTTGCCTTACAGTTGGGGCTCTCTCCAGGAACTGCAGACTTGCCTTCAGAGACAGGTGCTGAGCCCCCAGAAAAGGGACAGACACTCAACCAAGAGAAAGATCCAAGCCACATGATCTACCCAGACTAGCACTCCCTCAACCTGCCTCTCCAGGTCCTTTCTCCCCCAGCCCTCTAACACCCCTTTATCCAAGGAAGCATCACCCCAGTCCACGGCATCCATCCTAAGCCTCCTCCACCTAGGAGTTGCCTTGGTCCGGACTCCACCTCCTGAAAGCCCACCAAGCGCTGACCCCTCCTCGGGGAGGGTCAGGACCACTCCCACGGGCTATTTAGGCCAATGCTGAGAAAAAGAACATGTGGTCTTGGGTTTCGCATTTATAACCGGAGCGCTGCATTTATTAAACGTGGGCATTTTTATTTGGTCTAATCTGGTCTGATTAGAATTATTTGCATCGGTGGAGAGGCTCGTCTTAAGAAATACCTAATAGTAGGGCCCACTCTGGCCGCAGTGGGGAACTCAGACAGCAGAGACACCATGGGGGCTGCTGCGGTTTAGGAGGGACGGTGAATAGCTCACAAATGGCCACCACCCTAATTCCCAATGATTGTTACTACAAAGGTGTAAATACCCTCTGGCCGTCAGAAGAGGAGAGTAGACCCCTTATCTTCTCTGGCAGGCTGTCCTGGAGGGCAAAGCACCTTTAAGCTTTAGTAGTCTGTCACCATCTGATGGGGGCAGGGGTCTGTGTGTTCGTGTGAGGGCTGGGAGGGCAGGGCACACTGAAGTCCAAAGCCGAGAAGCTGTGGGTACCAGACTCACGTGACCCTCCACAGCTCCCAGGGAGTCTACGTTCGCCACACACAGCCAAGGGTCTTTTGGATTGTTTGTATGTTTGAGACAGGTCTAATTAAGTAGTCCAGGCTAGTCCTGAACTCATGGTGCTGCTCCTGCCTCAGCCTCCCAAATGCCACTGTGCCTGGCTTGTTTCATTGCATCTCACTGAGGCTGACAATCGGTGGCATTGACAGACAAGGGTACTAAAGCCGGCAGAGGCAAAAGGTCGCACCAGGTTCACCCTCCTGCCCTGTGCAATCAGGGCTGGGACCCGCCTGCAGGGTGTGTGCTCCACACTTACTGTGTAGTCAGGGCTGGGACCCGCCTGCAGGGTGTGTGCTTGCATACTACTGTGCTCCAGGACCTTACTAGGTACTACTTCATGTATATCTCTTCATTTCATGTAAAACCTGAAGATAACCCTTCGAGTCAGGCTTTGTGTCCCCTACACTAAGGTAAGAAAGCCGAGGCTGACATGAAAGACAGCGGCTGGGAAGGCTAATATGCAGATCCGGCTGGGCCACAACAGCCAGGCTTCCATTTAAAGGGCAGTCTAGATTTTAATCCCAGCACTTGGAAGGCAGAGGCAAGCAGGTTTCTGTGAGTTTGAAGCCAGTCTGGTCTAAGAATAGCCAGGACTACACAGAGAGACTCTGAATCCAAAAGAGGAAAGATAGATAAAGACGTGATTACCATTAACTCAGGAGATCTGAGGAAGAGTCACTCTTCACAATGTGTGTGGCCCTCACCCCGCAGGAGAAGGCTTTAAGAGAATGTCTGGAAGAGAGGGCCCCACCTCCACCGCCTCCACACTTGAGCTGCGTCCTGGCGAGTACAGCCTGGCCTGCAGAATCAGGACTGGGTACCCGTAACTGTGTGAGCCAAGTTCTCTCTCTCTCTCTCTCTCTCTCTCTCTCTCTCTCTCTCTCTCTCTCTCTCTCNCTCTCTCTCTCACTCACACACACACACACACACACACACACACACACACACCAAAATAAAACAAAAAACACAATGTCTCTCTGGGACCCTGACAAGGGGGTGGCAATGTGGGGGCCGGACTAGAACCGTGCAACCCTGGAGCTGCGCACTCCACTGAAGCCCATGGCATGCTCCTTGTGCCCGACAATAGTATTATTATGAAAAACAACAGCAAGATCACCACTGAGACGGCATGAGGTCACTCCTCAAACATCTGAACTCAGTGTGAACCCTGGCCCTGGCACCCCACTGAGTGCCAGTCTCCCCATCTTTGAGTGGGAGCTCAGTAAACACACGCTATTGACTTATCCCCATGTTCTCCTGGGTGGCAGGTGTTCCTGCACAGCTCGCCCTGGGGCTGCATGCATGCTGTTGTCCAGCAGTGGCCCATGGGCCAGCTTGGCTCCTTATTGTGTGCCCAGAACCCACCATAGCCCTCACACCAGGCAAGGCCTAAGAGAACCTGAGGCTCAGGTCCTTTTACTTTTTGTTGTTGGTTTGGTTTTGAGACAGAGTTTCTCTGTGTAGCCCTGGCTGCCCTGGGACTCACACTGTAGACCAGGCTGGCCTCGAACTCTGTCTGCCTGTCTCTTGTGGGAATTAAAGGCGTGTGCCACCACACCCAGCTAACTGGGCGGTTTCTTGATTGTTGTCCCATTTGCTTGGACTTTGGGCTCCTTTGGGCTGGTGTTCTGCCCTGTCCACTACTGCCTGGCTCCTTTGGCAAGCTGCCTGGCCTGCTCTGGCATGCTGCCTGGCCCTAAACACTCACCAAGTGCTGCCAAGGAAAGGAAGCTCAGGCAAGCAAAGAGCTGCTTTATCTACCTGTTCCTCTTGTGGGCTGCCATCAAGTAGGAGAGGTGGGTGTGAGCACCAGCTTCCGGGGCCAGTACCCCTGCCATCAAGGCCCTGGCCATGGACTTCCTTGTTTCTGTGTGCTGATGTGAAGCCTGTACTGCCTGCCTCACGGGAATGAGATGGTGACAGGGCTGGGTCACCTGAGTGTGAGTGACACAGGTAGGGGCTGGAGCCATACAGTCTTCCCGCTGTTTCAGTGTTCTTTCAGGGTCCCCAAACAGTCTCTGAGGCAGAAGCCACAGTCTCATAGGGACAAGGCAGGAGACTGGCAGGAACTGGGAGATGTAGTAGGCGGGGAGGAGGCTGACAATAGAGGCTGAGGCAGCAGTGAGGGCCACAGCCTATAGTGGCCACCTGGGTCCCTGCTCTACTGTGGGTAGTCTCTATGCCCTCCAGACAGGATGTCAGTATGCAGACCAGGCTGGCCTGAGCTCACAGAGTCCTGTCTGCTTCTGCTTCCTGTATGCTAGAATTAGAGGCGTGCCCCACCATGCATGGTCAATTTATCGACCTTAACCCCAGGATGAGAATAAAACAAGAGCTTTTTAAGTTATGAAAGTCACACACGGTTGCTGAGAAAGGCACATGGGGCAGGCTGTGTCTTGTAATGGATGCTCCGCACCCCATCCAGGATTTGAATCAGCTCCTCTACCTCTCTGGTTTGCACTGTCTAGAATCTTCTATTATACAAAAGGTTTTCATGCTTTTTGTTGAAACAGGCTAGCCTGGAACTTGTAACTTTCCTGCTCCAGCTTCCAAGTGCTATGGTGACAGGCGTGAGCCACCATGCCTGGTTCTACCTTATCCTTAAAAACAATTATTCCCAGCCCAGGCGGTGGTGGCACAGGTTTAATCCCAGCACTTTGGAGGCAGAGGCAGGCAGATCTCTGAGTCTGAGGCCAGTCTGGTCTACAGAGAGAGTTCCACGATAGCCAGGGCTATGTAGGAGGCCTGGTCTCAAAAAATTCAAAACAGAAAACTATTATTTATTACTAGTGTACGCGATCTGTGTGGTGGGGACACGTGTGCCGTGGTGCACACGTGGAAGGGAGGGGACAACTGTGCGTCTGGTTCTCCCCTCTAAAGGGATCGAACCCAGGGCTAGGGGCTTGTGCAGCAAGAGCCTTCACCCACTGATCGTCTCATCGGTCTCTACCTCATCCTTTAGAGTAATTTACATTGTGTGTGCGCACGCATGTGGCAGTCAGAGGACAACTCAGAGGCATTGGTTCTCTCCTCCACCCGTGCAGCTTCCAGGGAGCTGGACTCAGGCCGGCAGGCTGGGTCGAGCACCTTCGTCCGCTCACTGAACCATTTCACTGGCTCCTACGTCACCTTGCTTGTTTTTTATTTTTCAGGACAGGGTTTCTCTGTGTAGCCCTGGCTGTCCTGGAACTCTCTCTGTAGACCAGGCTGGCCTCGAACCCACAGAGCTCTGCCTGCCTCTGCCTCCCCAGTGCTGGGATTAAAGGCATGCCCAGCTTACTTCATTCTTTTTAAGGACTGCAGTGTTCCCCTGAGGCTCCAGCAGGGCTTACTCAAGGGATCCCACAGAGGATGACACTCCATTTCTGTTCATGAACTGTGCTGTGCTAAGTAATGGCTGGGCCACCTCTGTGCTCACAGAGTGAACAGGCACAGGACACATTCCCAGAGCAGAACTACAGGGCTACAGGGACACAAATCTGCACCGTCCTGTAGCCACTGGCACCTGGAGCTCCTCCTCAGGCCAACGGCCCTTCCACTAAGCTGACAGACGGGGACATTTGAGTCACTGTCTGGGAAGCAGTGTTTTTCGACCGCTCACATCTGCTTCGATAGCTCTGACTTGTCCGCTAGGGCTCGTCTCCTAGGCCAGGGTTTGATAGCTGCAACCAGTCCAGTTGCCCAGCTGCCTCTACTGCATCCATTTGTTAAAACACAGGACCAGACATGGCACCCGTGAGTCCCACGGCCCTGCTGCTCCAGATGTTCCCAACACCTGTCTGTCCTCACCTGACTCCGCTCCAGCCACTGCACTTTGACTGGCATGTGAACATTACAACCCTACTAATGGCTCAAGGTGGGAAATCACTTGTGTGAAGTGTGTGTGAAATCCCAGGACAGGGCAGCACTTCCTGCCCAGACCCAGATATGGGGACAAAGTTGCTAGGGCAGGCAGCCAGGCCAGACCTCGTGCCCTTCTCCTCCCTATTCAAACACCTTGTTCTCAGCAAGTTCCTGACACCGGGCACGCTGTCCCTAGTGTGCTTCCTTCCCTCTGCCTCCTGCCGGGGTCTCTGTCTCATATCGCCCTGGTTGGCCTGGACTCATTATGCAGACCCAGGTGGACTTGAACTCACAGAGACCCTCCTATCTCTTCCTCCTGAGTGCTGGGATTAACAGCATCCGACAGCACACCTGCCCCCTCTGGACCTTTCTTGAGTTAAAAGCAGCTGTGACAGCCCTGAGTAAAATCGGACTCCTGGAAGTCATCCCTCTCTCCCGAGAACCTGGGTCTGTAGGCTCCTCATAGCCATTCCCTCTGAGACACAAGGACACAGGCTGCCCTGGACCCCCACATCACATCACAGCTACTGGGGGTCACTCTGAGGGTGTCCGTGGATCAGCAGGACTGACGGTGCCTTCCCGCCACCCACTCTGAGCTCTAAAGAGGAAACCTTCACTCTGTATGTTTCTGGTGACACGGCTCAAGGATTTGATCCCTTCCAGGCTGCAGACCCAGGCAAGAGCCTGGCCCGCCCCACAGCTCTGTTACTCCAGGGCCACTGTCACCTGTAGACACCAGAGCCAGAGCCCATGCCACTGGAGTGGCCTGCCCAGCTGAAACCAGCAGCAAGCCATGTCTTATAGAGCCCACCCTCCTGACTAAGAGGCTCTGAGGGCAGGACCTGGGATCATCAGGATGGATGCATTGGCCCAAGACACCCAGGGAGAGGCTGTGTGTGGACAGCGAAGGGGCCTCAGCAAGCAGGGAAAGCCAGGGCTGAGGGGCATGGTGTGCAAGCTGGACACGGTGTCGTGTGGATGAGACAGATGTCAGGGCTGTGCTGGCCACCAGAGAACACTGTCACCACTGCCACCAACGGAGTGTCAATGAAATGACCCAGCAAGTGGAAAGAGTCGGTGTAACCTGATGCACGCACACAGGTGGCCCCAGCCACCGTCACTCCTCCAAACCACTTGGCGTGTACGCTCAGCCATGGAGACACAGACTTAACAGCAGGTCTCCCGGGTCAAGTGGGCTATGACAGCTGCAGGCATGCCTCATGTTCCGGGTGCAGTCGGGACTAGGGCCGCAGCTCAGGGCTAGAGGGCCTGCCTGGTGCACAGAGCTCTGGGTTCAGCCCTTCACCAAAGCCTGCTGCTGGAGAAGGTGTGGGGGGGGGGGGTCAGAGACACTGATGAGTAGCAGTGACAAGGTGACAACGTGTCCTACACACACCCTCCCGTCCCACCAAAGCTCACATCCACTTGGCCTACCATCCCGTCTGTTTCCAGAAGGGCTGGTGAGAGGCACGACCCAGGGCGCTGGCATTGATCACTTCACTGTACTTCTCGGTACCCCACCCCAGGTTGCCCACGAAAGCCTGGACCTCTACCCAGCCCGCCCAGCCCCTCAGGCCCTCAGCCTCTCCGCACCTGTGCAGCTGCCGGAAGGAAGAACGTGCCCTGGTCCCCCGTTGAGCTCTGAGGCTCCTTCAGTCGTGGCCACTTCCTCTTTCTCCTCTTCCCGGGCCTCAGGGGCCTCCTCCTGTGGCTGCTCCATGACTGACCCCCACTCGGCGTGGCGCCTGCAGGCCGGGTCATAGCTCTGGCACCATCTGGGTCTGAGCGCAGATGGACCGCCTGGGCAGGGAAGAAAGAAGAGGTCAGGGGAGAGGCAGTGACACAGGAGGTAATGTAGTAGATGCAGGCACACTACAGGGCCACTGTCACATGGCAATGCTGCTCCAGGGCCCGCCTCAGTCCCTGAAGAGCTTTCAGATGCACTGAACTGGCTTCGCAGCCAAAGATGACCCAACTTCTGACCTTCTGCCTGTCATGTGCTGGAGTACAGGTGTGAGCCACCACCTCCAGAGGTCTCTCTTCTCACACTGCCAAGTCCCCTGCCCTCCTGCCAGTGCTCATCTGGCTCTTGGGCAGGTTGGCAGGATTGAGAGCAGCTACGGAGCCACTCTGTGTGCCACCTTTACTTGCGTCCCTGCTCTAAGAGCCTCCCTAAATTGTCTGGGCAGCAGCAGAATGATCCCAACTATCCAGTGCCCCCTGGAGGTCCCTACACATCACAGCCCCCTGGAGGTCCTACACATCACAGCCCCCTGGAGGTCCCTACACATCACAGCCCCCTGGAGGTCCCTACACATCACAGCCCCCCGGAGGTCCCTACACATCACAGCCCCCTGGAGGTCCCTACACATCGCAGCTCCCACCCTCATCCCCACCCAGCACCGTGGCTAAGAATGCAGCTGTCCAGAGCCACTGTTCTGAGGGGCGTCCTGTCCTGCCTGAGGCCACTGTGGGAAACAGTTTAAACTTATGTATGTGGGCACTATTTATTTGTTATTTTGTGAAATTGGGTCTCTTTATGTAGCCCTGGCTGTCCTGGAATAGTCCCTTTGTAGACTAGGCTGGCTTGGAACTTAAGAAGATCCGCCTGCCTCTGCCCCCTAAGCATGGGATTAAAGGCGTGTGCCTGCCCGAGTGCCCAGCAAAGCACCCCCATGCCCCGTATTCCTCCCTCCTCACACTCCATCCAGTCACTCTGAGGCCTCCCCTGCCTGGACTGCACAGCAGCCTCTGAGGCTGTCCTCTGGGCCACTGCATATGCAGCCTGCAGGTCTAGGTGACAGAGGACTGACACAGTGACAACCACAGGAAGAGTGTAAGCATCTCATCACAGGACACACAGACAGACAGACACACACACGAGGAAAAGAAGTTTCCGTCAGCTGTGAGAACAATTGAGAAGGCACTAACATAGAAGCTGGCCCCACATCTGCAGGGAGACAACGCACCAGAGATAACAGTTAAAGCAGGTATGTGAACCAGGGTGGGCATGCAGCTCGGTGGGAGAGAGAGAGCTTGCGGGGTGCACACAAGCCTCTGGGTTTGATCCTCAGCATCCTTGAACCAGCTCTGCGGGTGCACATCTGTAATCCCAGCCCTCAGGAGGTGAAGGCAGAAGGGTCAGAAGTTCAGGGCTATCCCCAGCTACCCAGAGAGTTTGAGGCCAGCCTGGGCTACAGGAAACCCTACCAAAACAACAGAACCCTCATAAAGTACAAGAAATGACGGCATCTCACAGTGAATAAGATGTAGGCCTGACAATAAACCCATAAAAGCTTTATGGGTGACAAGATTACAGGTAAAAGATTAACAAATTTAATCATATAAAAGTATAAAAGTTCTACATAGGTAGAGGGAACTTAAGGTAAAACAAACTAAAGGAAAACCCTGGCTTTGTAAGTCAGTTGCCTCTTGAGCACTCAGGAAGCCCTGGTTTGGTCTCCAGCCCTGCAGAGACCAGCTTGTGGTCTGAAGTGGAGGACCGAGGACCAAAAGCTCCAAGGGTACCCTTTTACTAAATAGTGACTTTGAGGCCAAACTAGGCAACATGACACACTCACTGCCTTAAAACCAAACCTAATGAATTGATCAGACAATAGTGAAAAATACTTCCAACTTTTATCCAAGTGCTAAATTCCCTAAAATAGCTCAGAAATTCCTAAAGACTAGCAATCCAAGCCAGGTACTGTGGCTACGCCTCTAACCACAACACAGGAGGCCAGCCTTGTCTACACAGAGTTCTAAGGGAACCAGGCTACATATTAAAGGTGTGCACCACCATGAGGGATGCGGATTCGCGGTGGAGACTGCGCGAGTGTGTGTGAAGGGCTGGGCTTAATCCTGGGTGCTGAGAAGCAACAAAAACAGCCCCCAAACAAGAAAGTACCCCGCAGACACCTGGTGATCATGTGATCAGGTGAGCCGGCACCGTCTGTGGAGGGCGTCTGGACCCATCTATTACTAATCCCACTGGGCGAGAATAGACCATTACCATAATTTCTTGAGCCAAATTTGAAGCAAGCTTTATTAAATATTTATTGGTGATGTCCATGTGTACTGTCCATGTCCGTATCAAGCTTAGCCCTCACATATATGAGGACAAGGGCACATACTTCACCCCGGAGCTCCGTCTGAAGACTGTCTATGGCTATACTCCCATAAGTGGAGTGATGGAGTGTTAGTCCAGCTATCCTCCCGTGGTCTGACTGGGGTGGGGGCATCTTAGGAGGGCTCCAACAGCCACAGACAGGATGGCTATGAACTGGTATGGAATCATCCACTGGTAAGCAATTTGTGGGTCAGAGCCAGCCAGGATGGGATAAAGGGAAGAGAGAGCCAGTCCAAACAGCCGTCCATCCTGGCCTTCCACTCTGGCCACCATGATGTGAGCTGTGCCTCTCCACCACGAAGAAATGAGCCCTTTGAAACTTTGAGTCAAAATAAGGAATCCCCCTTTAACGTGTTCTCTTGACTATCTTGGTCAGAAAGACAGACAGAAAGCTAATACCACAGCTATCGTTTCTACAAGTAGAATGATGATAAAATAAAGAGGCAAAATTGACAATAACGTGAAGAAGGAACACAAAGTCTCCGACTCTTGAGTCTCTAGTTTCCAGAAGTCAGCTAGATATAATCATAAAATTCAAATGACGACCGGGATACAACCAACAGAGTGACAAACTCCAAACCAGGACCCCACGGCCGGGGAGACTCATGAAGCCCTAGCTTGGGGGGTGGGAGATGGCTCAGCAACCAAAGGCACTCGTGCCAAGTATGCTAGCTGGATCCCTGGGGAAGGAGGAGGAGAGAAATGACTTCTGCAGACTTCTGACTTCCGCTGGTGAGCAGTGATATGTGTGTAACACACACAAGTGTGATACTAATCTCCAGCTTGCTGAGAAAGACAAGGAAGGCATTGTGGGGATAACTAAAAGCGATGAGGAGTCCTGGACAGAACCTGGATAGAAGGAAGACACAGCTTGATGGTGCCATTTCAGCTTAGATGTCTGTCCATCTGAGATGTTACGTGCGGGAGCTGGGAAGGGGTGCGCAAACATGGCATTTCTGCAGAGCTTTTCTCTAGCGGGACACTGACTTCAAATGCTTTGATTGTTTTAAAGCTTTTAAAACAAGTTAGCTGTACGGTGCCTAGAGACTGGATGTTCCAGGTCAGCCTGGGGGCTGGAGACGGTTCAGAGGCCGAGAGCTCTGCCGTTCTTAGAGAGGACCCAGGCTTAGCTCTCAGCATTCACGTGGCAGCTCACAGCAGTCTGTAACTCCAGTTCCAGGGGCTCCGGCACTTCTGGCCTCCATGGGCAATGCACACGTGTGCACACACACGCACGCAGGCAAAATAGCCACATACATAAAAAAAAAAACTTAAAAGGTGATTTTCCTGAAAACTGGGGCAAATGGGCAACTGGGCACCCATTTCTGCGTGTATGCCTGAAGGCCAGAAGAGGGCACCAGACCTCACTACAGATGGTTGTGAGCCACCATGTGGTTGCTGGGAATTGAACTCAGGACCTTTGGAAGAGCAGGCAATGCTCTTCACCGCTGGGCCATCTCTCCAGCCCCTCAAGTCTTAAACTTAGAAAATGACAGGAGCCCGGACATGCTCAGAAGTGCTGACTCCTCCCTGCACATGGTTTGTTACGGAACAGCCAGGTGTTGCTATCGCTGTCTTCTGAGTCCCCTCGTTCTTTTCTGCTAGGCTGAGCCTTCTCAAGGCCAGCGATGTGTCCAGAAGAATATCCCTGCTCGCTGCAGTTGTACTGGACATGATCCCAGCCACGACACAAGCAGTGACCCTGTAAGAGCCTCTGAATACAAGAAACTTCCACAGCCTTGCACATCCCTGCTTCGTGTCTGGCTCAGAGCAGCCTGGAGAGACGTGCTGGGAAGAATGACCTGCTAGCAGAGAGAGGCATGCTGGGAAATGACCTGCTAGCAAAGAGCAAGCACTGAAGACCCTCCCGCTGCAGATCAATGTGTGGGACAGGCAGGCCAGGGTGGGGCGAGGGGAAGACCCCATCAGGTCTACGGCTCTTGTGCAGAACACAATGGGGTGGCTGGGACCATGGGTGGGTGGGATGAGACTGGGAAAAGAGACCTGGCTTGGAGTGCTATGGCTTGGGTGTGGTGATGGGGTGCAGGGGGGACATTGGGAGGATCTGGGGTTCCCTTGGCAGGGGACGCTGCAGCGCCACCTTCTCACATAACAGACAGAGCATTTCTTTGTAGGTCCTGGGGGCCTGAGACAGGGTTCCTGCTAAGAACTGCTCCTGAAGTCCTTCTGCACCCAGAAACTGGGAGAGTGACACACAGGCAGTCACTCAATCCTCGTGAGCCCCGCAGCAATCCCCAGATGTCCCCTGGACAGAGGAAGAAGTGGCAAGAAGACTCAGTTCCAGAGTCCTGAGAGTGTCTCCCAGAGGACCCACCAGGGGACAAGATGGACAACGTCTGAGCTTGAGAGCCAATGAGACAGCTCTGTGCAAGTCACATCGCCTGAACCAGCCCTGAACTGCAGCTCATCCCATATCCCGCTGTTAGGAGGTCAGGATCAGAACACCAGTCCACATTAACGCTTCTCCCTGGCCAGAGCTGTCTCTTCAGTGCAGGCTGAGGTTAGGGAGCAGCTGCCTGGTAGTTCTGAAACCCACATGCATTCCTTGGGCTTCATTCACATATGAGCTCTAACCGCCATGCTGCGGTCCTCTCCTGTATTCTGCCAGGAGCCATCCACTTCAGACAGCCCTGCCTACTCCACCTGCAGTGCGGTCTGCCGGCCACACTATCTGATACCTGCCTTCAGTTGGCTTTTCAGGAATTGCTGCCACCTGACCAGCCACAAACCTGCTCTCTACTTCCCTTCGGCAGTCCTGCCCTGAGGGTGCTCACAGTGGCAGCTGCCCCTCAGCTCCCAGCACTGAGTTAGGGCCACGCCCCTCGATCAGGAGCCTTGTCTACAAAAGGGGCTTCAGCCGGCCAGGAGGGGCTGGCAGAGGGAGGTTTGCAGGAGGCCACAGGGTCTCTGAGGAGAGAGCGGGGCTTCCTTTCAGGACATCCCACTGCCAGTAAGGTCAACTAAGGAGACCCAGGTGGTCTTCCTAGAGGCTCAGCTTCCCTGATGCTCAAGAAGGCTGTGTGCTTGGTCTTCGGGGGTGGTGGTGGTGACCAGTATGCCAGGGGCTGCCAGGGCCTCCTCCACAAGCCCCAACTTTGGCCCGCTCACTGCCTCCTCCTCTGTGGTTCCAGTGCCCACACTCCATGCCTACTGACCCTAACCTTACTGCCACAACTGCCCCAAGAACCGGGTGCTACTGCCCCATTTAACAGGAAACAGAGCACACAGGCACACACACAGAGAAGGGGGGGAGAGAGAGAAGGGAGGGAGGGAGGAATTAGGTCAGGGTCACAGAATGGCTAGGGGAACACGGGTGGAATCTGGGCAGGGTAGCTCAAGCATTAGTCATGGAGCCACCGTCCGTGCGCTGCTGGGCCAAGAATGCGCTAGAAGCAGCATCTCCCTGGCCCAGGGGCAGGGTCTGAGCAATTGAATCTCCCCTCAGTCTGAGTCAGGAGCCCTCACTCCCCTGCCTTCTGTGAGGCTGCAAGCTCTCTCAGCTGATTCGGCCAGAAGAGCCTGCCACAGCCCTCCTGGCTGCTCCAGTCATAAAACCACCAAGTCATAGGTGATGGTGGCTACCGGCTCTGGTCCCTGCATCTCTCTAGCCCATCTTCCCGATCTGTCCTGTGTCCCCTGTTCCACCATCACCTCAGGCCGCAGAGGCTGAGGCTGGCACTGAAGGGGTGGCTCTCCCTGGAGGAGCACTGGCTCTCTCCGGCTCTCACTGGCTGTCCCTGCAGACCAGCCCACGGCTCCTTCCAGGAAGTCTTCCTGGGTACATACCCATCCCGCTTACCTCAATTTTGACTCCAATCTGCCAGGTCTCCTGCCTACTCTGGCCTCATCACGTCCTCACACCCCAAGAGTGCCCTCTGATCTGCTGAGGTGGGTTCCCAGGGCCTGGCACAGAGCCCCTTAGTGAGAGTTCAACAGGTACTTGGTGAATGAAAAAGCACACCGACACCTTGGCCTCCAGCCCTCGCCACGGATCAGTTTCCTTATGTCCCTGCGTTCATATCTGAGGCCTTTTAGAAGTTAATTCTGGGTCAGGCTCCCCCTGTCCCCCGACCCACGAAGCAGGGGGTGACTGAGGTAGGTGGCAGTGCAGGGCCACCTACTGGGACTGTGGCTGCGGCTGACCCTGAGAAGACTCTCGGCAGAGCCTTCTGATTTAAAAGTGTGCAAGCCCTGGGACCCCAGGACCTCCGCAGGGGTCCCCTTCCAACCTCCTGGTCGCCACAGGAGACCTGCAGGGTGCTCCCTGCTCTGCCCCAGAATACCTGGAAGAGATGCCAAGAGAAAACAGAAGGGAAGCACCGTGGAGAAGAGAACAGCACTGTGGTTCTTTGCTGAGGGATGGCCTGAGCCTTCCACTTCCTACCCTCTGCCATTGTTTCCGCTTCCACTTCCCCCTTCCCACGGCAGCGGGGATGAGGGTTGGTAATGTCATTGAGGCAGAGGTTGTCCCATGCCTCTGATGAGTTATTTGGGACCAGCAGAGAGGGAGGCCAGAAGAGAAAAGACCCTGGATCACTGTCTCAAGCTTTCCCATCAATCAGTAATCTGTGTGCTGACCCAGTGACCCAGTTTTCTGGGCCAGCAACTCCGTAGAATTCACTGCTTCCCATTTGCTAATTCAGGTCACCCCATCTCCCCAGGGCACCAAAGGCCAGGGTGGATTCACCCTAGTGGTTACCTGAGGTCAATCCCTAAAAAATGCTAGGGAGCGCAGGAAGTGGACAGGACAGTGAGCAGGAACTGACTCTCCTTCTTCCCTGGGTACCTGAGGAACAATAGATGAAAGTGAAAGGCTCTGGCAACCAGAAGGGGGCAGATGGAAGGGAGCTCATGCCTGAGCTGGGAAACAGGAAGCGAGGGGCTGTGGGTGGGCTGTCCCATCCCGTGCCCCCCCCCACTTGCTAGCAGCAGGGAGTGGTCCGCCTGGCTCTCAGCAGCCCCTTGACTCTGGGACCACAGGGGTAATGCAATGCCCACTCCCACCTGTAACATGATGGTGAAGGTTCCAAAATGTGAGTTCCATGAGAACTTGAGCCCAGAAACACAACAAGCTTGGTGTAGTGCGGACTTGTAATTCCCGCTGAGGCTGAGGCTGGGTTGCTGCGCATGCAGAGACAGGCGGATCTCTGTGAGTTCAAGGCCAGCCTGGTTTACAGAATAAGTTTCAAGACAGTCAAAGTTATACAGAGGAGCCCTGGTGCTTGCTGGTCAGCACAGCCTAGACTGCTTGTAAGATGCAGGTCAGTGAGAGACCCTGACTCAGATACCAAGGTGGATGGCATCCAAGGGACCACAACCTGTGGCCTCCACACGCAAATGGACACATACATGTGTATCTGTGAACTAGATAAACTAGAGACACAACCTACGCACAATGCTGATGATGTAGCTACTATGTACTATGTAGCCCTGGCTGGCCTGGAACTCACTATGTAGACAAGACTGGTCTCGAACTCACAGAGATCCATTTGCCTCTGCCTCCTAACTGCTAGGGCTAAAAGATATGTGCCACCACACTTGCCTTATTTTCATAATTATATTCGTGTGTTGAAGTTTCTTTTGAGGAGCATGGGGTCTTTTATGCCGCGGGAAGAGGGAAGACATCTTGAAAGCTGCTGGGAAACATCGCTGGGCTACCCGGAAGACCTTCCCCAGGCTCGGGAGAACTTGGGATTCTTCAAACGATGGTTCTAAGCAAAAGACTTCAGTGTCCAGGGGACTTCTGACCAAGCAGCTCTGCTGCCAGGCAGGAGACTCTCCAGAGCCCTTCTCACCAGGGCCTTGGAGCTACGTCTACTCGGTCCCTCTGCCTTCCTCTTGGTCCCTGCCAACGGCGGCCACCTGCTGTCAGCCGGATGAGTGCAGGAGTCAGGAGCTGACACAAACACTGACCTGTGACTGATGGCCAGGGCTCTCGGAGGAGTTGATGCCTAGCACTGTGGGGCACCTCGGAGCACACTGGTCCTGGGCAGTAGGTGGGAGATTGGTTTTCATCAGTCCTCTGATGGAAACACAGGGCACACAGGGCTCCAGAGTAACAGGAACAGATGCATAGAGAAGAGGACAGGAACCCGGGACAGAGGAGGGTCAGGAGGCTGCAGCTGGGATGGCTTCAGGGTTGGGAAGGTAGAGGGTTGGGAGGGCCACCACCCTGGGAAAAGCAGGGAACCCAAGAGGGCTCTCAAGGAGCAGGGCAGCATTTTAAACCTCCCCCAAAGATGAAGGACACCAGACAAGGAGACGACAGGAGGAAGAACCAGAGTCTGCCGTGGTCTGGGAAGCAGCTGCCTGCCTGTTCCTAGAAAGACCCAGGCTGAGTTATTTAAGGGTAGCTGACACAAGGGCCTGTGCTTCTGATGCCGGCTCTGAGACCCCACAGAACAAAGTAACCATTCAGTGACCTCCCTGTGCTCTGCTCTGCTGAGCATGTGCAGCACACGCACGCCTGTAACATGACGGCCACACGCCTGACTGCTCCGTGTGAAACGTCCAAGGACTCCAGAGCTAAGCAGTCCTGCCGTGGGTGCAAAGGTCGCCGGGCACTGTCTACTAAGGACCACCAGTCCTGCCGCGGGCGCGAAGGTCACCAGGCATCGTCTAGGCACCATCATTTTTCCTTCTAAGCCACCAAGACCGGGGAAGCCTTTGATGTTCCAGATCGGCCTTCACCGCCATCTTGTCTAACCAGCCTACTGAGCCGGGCAGCAGGACTCAATGCTGAGCACTGACAACCTCCAATATTTCATTTTATCACTATGACCTCTCTGGGGAAATCCTGCCTCTGACAGGGGTAGAAGACAAGAACCCAGCCAAGGGAGAGAAGGAAAATGCCTCGCGGACGCAGCCAGCGAGGAGGCAGGGCAGGTGAGCAGGGCTGACTGGCTGACCCTCTTTGGGGAGAGGGAAGCCACAAGGAACTGCCGTGGTGTGGCCACCTACATCTGTCCAGGGGAACAATGGCTGCCAAATTTGAGCTGTACGTGGAAATATTAACCCGTAATGGACGTTTCAGTTCCCTGTGCAAGAAAACACACAGTTGCCGGCTCCATATATACAATGCTAAGAAATCAGCAAAAGAGTCAGTACTAATACATCAAATAATCAGAGCATGTGCAGAAAAATGCAATATTATCCACCCACAAAAACATGCTTGATGTGGGAGTGTCATATCAATCTGTTGATTTCATTGGCTGAGCAATAAAGAAACTGCTGGCCCTGATAGGTTAAAAGACAGGTGGGCGGAATAAACAGAATAGAATTCTGGGCAGAAGAGGAAGTGAGGTCAGACTCTGTTCTGCTCCCGGAGAGACCCGACAGCTCTGCTGGAGCAGAGACGCCATGCTCAGCTCTCCCAGGCAACTCCAACCCATGATGGACTTAGGCTAGAATCTTCCCGGTAAGCGCACCTTGGGGTGCTTACACACATCATTAGAAATGGGCTAGTCCAGGTGCGAGAATTAGCCTGTAAGGGTTAGAGTTCATGGGCCAAGCAGTTCTTAAATGAATACAGTTTGTGTGTTGTTATTTCGGGCAT